AGAATTTGAGCAGATTTTTATTTTTTCTTTAATACAATTGTTTTACCTTTTAATGATAGCTTCCTCTTAAGCCTATAAATAGATTTCATGGATGATAGATTCATAAGTGAGAGGAGGAGGAGAAGAAAAGGAGGAGAAAATTTTAGTCCCCAAGAGAAAGAGAGAGAGAGGGAGAGAGAGAGAGAGAGAGAGAGACAGGGTGGAGGTGGAGTATTCTGATGGTGAGATTTTTCAAAAGAAGAAAGTCTTCCCCGACATGCGTGGCTGTCGACCATAGGATCCTTTTTCGTGCTAAGACGCAGAGTGAAGTCATCCTCATTCTGCATAACAGGCAACCAACAAAATCTTCTTTCTTGTTGGGCATAGAGAAAAATCATGACACAAAGAGGTCAAGAAGACCTTCTTTCATGACACAAATACATATTTATATTTAGGTTTTCCATTAAGGATCTAAAATAAGCATCAAATATCTTCAAATCCATCAATAAATCTGAAATAGCAAGAAAATGAGTAAAATATGAGTTTTGAACGTCTCAGGAGTGGTTATGCCATACCCCCCAGTGTTGCCATGTCTAGAATTAGCTTGGTCATGCCAGTTCTGGCATAGCTACGTCAAGAGTATGCATGGTCATACCCATATTTTGGATGACTATGCCAGACAACACTAAGTTGCGTGTTTTTGACTTTGTGTTGCATGATCAACACTTATAACCTGTAAAATAGCACCATGAACCTTCCACATGTATAAAAACATGATTAATAAGGTATAATAGTATGTAAGGTGAAATTACATAAAATTGAGGCATATCAACATCCCCAAACTTACCTCATTACTCACTTGTAAGTAATCACATAACATAGTTGGAAATTCATGAAGTTGATTGATACTCTTGTTGGTTTCTAATTCTTCCATTTATTTATCAACCTAAATAAAATTGTTTAAATATCATTGTAGATAAATTATCTTTAATGGTTAATAACTTGTTCCTTCCTCAATTTTCTTCATTCTTATCCTTAGAAAAGTTCTATAAATCATTAAATTGATGTAATTTAAGCTACTTTCACTAACCTTAAATGTTTTTAATGCAATTTCAGTAGATTTTAGCCAACTAAACATTAATTAACACTTTTCCTTTAAAGACAACTAAAAAGGAGTTCTATTAAGGAATCATGTAAATGTTTTATTACTTACATCACACTAGACACTCACCTGATACTTTTTCTTTGAAAAACTGTTGTGCTAAGGGATACACCTAAATATATAGTTTTTTATACACATTTTTATACCTATTTTTGAGATATTGTGCTTTAATGAAAGATATTTGTGTGTTTTTTCCATCAGGTACAATCAAATGGATGAAAAATGCTAATAGAAGTGAAAAAGGGTCAAAATTGGAGCAAAAATGACGAAGGTATAAAAAAGAACTGGGGCGCAACACGCCTAGGACTGGCGCCTATGCGCCAGAGAGCCATACCTAAACATTAGGTACCCCGCGCTTAAGCACCATAAGTAGTTATTTGATGATTCATTAAATTTAGACAAATTTTTTAAGAGGTGTTTGAAGCAACACTTGGTAAAAACATGGGAAGTAATCCATGGACACAAAAATTAATTCAATTGGCTTTTGAAAGGAGGAACTTCTAGAAGATTAATTGAATGAGACACATTTTGAGGAGACACCAAGGCACCTTTTGGATTTTTATTAAAAAATACTTGGATCATCAAAGGAGGAGGCCAGCCATTAGACATCCATAGCCATCATTCATCCAACTAACCGCCGCCGCCGCTGTCGCCAGCCACTTCTTTTTATATTGAGTGTTAGTTTTGTACTGCGAGTGAAGGAAGAGAATTTAAAGAAACTTCAAGACATTTGATGGAGAGGATTTGAGATAAGTGTTTATCTTTGTGACTACACTTGGTTTTAACTTAGATTTCTTATTTGTGTGCATGATTTCTACTTTTAAACTCATATGTGGTTGTATTTTCTCCATGATTTCTGAGTAGTTTTCTTTATCTTTTTTCCTTAAAACAATAAAGACAGTGCCAGATTGGGCGCCGACGATGCTAGACTGGGCGCCGACGGTGCTAGACTGGGCGCTGACGACGTCATTTAATAGAGAGCATAAAATTTAATTCGGACTATAGGCGCCGACGACGACAAAGTCAGTGCTGGGCAAAATTTTAGAAGATTCGATGACTTTGGACACTTTTTGA